GACCTTAACAATCTCAGACCTATCTCCCATTCACCTCTAAACTCATAGAACGCCTTATCTACAGCCGCCTGAGCCGCCACCTCGCTGATAACAACCTTCTCTATCCCTTACAGTCCGGCTTTCGCCCCCTACACTCCACTGAAACCGCCCTCCTAAAACTCACTAATGACTTACTAACCGCTAAAAACAATGGTGACTACTCCTTACTCTTGCTATTAGACCTCTCCGCTGCTTTTGACACTGTTGACCACCTGCTCCTCCTCAAACAACTCCACTCACTTGGCCTACAAGACTCTGCTCTCTCATGGTTCTCCTCTTACCTGTCTAAGCGCTCCTTTAGTGTCACCTACAAATCTAACTCTTTCCCTCCTCTTCCTCTTTCTGTAGGGGTCCCCCAAGGCTCTGTCCTTGGACCCCTTCTCTTCTCTATCTACACCTCCTCTCTTGGTCAGTTAATAACCTCGCATGGCTTCCAATACCATCTCTATGCCGATGACACTAAAATATATCTTTCGACTCCACAACTCACCCCCTCAGTGTCCTTGCGTGTCACTAATCTACTAACTGACATATCAGTCTGGATGTCACAACACTTCATAAAACTCAACTTCTCAAAAACTGAGCATGTGATATTTCCTCCCGCCAGTGCACCTTCCCCAACCTTTCCCTTGAGATTGTTAACACAACTATCACCCGTCAATCCCTACACTGGCTTCCAATAGCCCAAAGGATAAAATTCAAAATATTACAACCACTTACAAAGCCATCCACAACTCTGCCACTGGCTATACACTGGTTATACATTTTGAGGATAAATTGCTTCACAGTGCTTGCAATTGCTGAGGTCAATGAGTCATACTCACCTTGCCAGCTCTCCCCTGCCACTTCTTCCTCTGTTGTAGCCTGTGGCAATACCTGGTTCTCCTGGGTATGGGGGAGCATACCTAGCATTTTAGCTATGCTAGGTGCAACCACTTGTTAAAGTCGAGGGAATTAAGTCACTGCTATCCTTAGCTGCTGTCACAAGCTAACACTGGGGGATTTTAGTTCCAGCTGTGACGAAAGAGGAAGCAGTCGGGGAGCAATGGTAAGGTATCAAAGGGTTGGGGGGGAGGACCTTTGCAAAAACACTGTGACTTTTCTGAGTTGGCAAGACAACAGTGTCTCTTTAAACCTTACATACTGCTTGTTAACACACACAAGTAAAAGCAACAGCATTTTATTGGCATAAGTTTGACGAAGCTCAGTCTGTCTTTATCAAGACATGGTCTTGATAAAGATGGACTAAGCTCCATTAGGACTTGTACTGTGCACTTTATTGCCCTGGGTTGAGTAAAGTAACTTTTAAGCTTAGGGGCAGGCACCCTAAAATTTCTGTACCTACCTTAACCAAGATCCCCCCTCCCCACCACCACCACCACCACCACCACACTTCGTTACTTCAACCAAATGAAAAATCAGTTTTTTTATGGGTATAGGTCACTTTGCTTTTAATGACTCAGGCCCTGAGTGGTTTATCACTAGGCCTGAGAGCAAACATGAGAGGGGCCTTAGCTAACCAAATTTCAGAAGTCAGTATCTGTATAAGATATTCAAAGTCCTTCAGTGGCAGTTCAGGGCAACAAGGCAGTCAATCAGTCTTCAAGATTATTTTACAAAACCAACTAAAACCAATCAAGAAAGTGAAAAGCACTATAACTCCTTTAAAGGAAAGTGTGCTACTTATATCCACTCACGTCCACCGGTACATCATATGGTACAGTTTCGTGCTTCAATGTCTGCACGTAGGGTGAGGATTTACTATAATATGTGTGCATTAGATGAAAGTCTACTAATTTCCTGGTATTATGTAGGCGCAATAAAAATACAATACAAAATAAAAGGTTTGCACAAATGGGTAGAAATGTGTACGTGTTATTGTTGATCAGACTCCCTCTTCTCATGTCTCCCTTCGCCTTGGGCTAAATAATGGGATAAATATGCAAGTGAGAAGTAATGTGAAAGTTTTATTGCTTTAATGACTATAAAATCATCTAGACAATATGAAATAATGGCACGAGAGGGGCGTGATGAGGCCTGCCATATGCAGTCTTCCCTCCACTTACAAGCTTGCTGTAGCAGAGTTTGTTGTAATAAAATGTCTCCATAAATGTAGTCATTGCAATAGTCACCAGCTATGGGTGTTGTCTGGTGAACCACAGTAGCCAGACTGGGTAATGTTCTAATTACTATGCACAACTTTCAAGCCTGTTGCAGGACCAAATTGTATTTTCTCCACTTAGTTGATCATATTAAAGAGGATCTTATTGAGTGAGAGCTCACAAACCATTATTATAGTTGCTTTTGCATGCTTGGTGTTCACTTGGTAAGATGGGGCTTAATTCAATATGTACTCTTTATTATGTTCCATGATGATGCACTGTGTAATGTTTAAAGTGACATTTCATTGCTACTTGTGACATTTCAGTGGTGCTAGTTATGTTAGATGAGGCTATCAATACATGAGTGACCTTTACTGCTTTTGCTTTAGACTTGACGACTATTAAACTACTGACTACTGAACTGCACCAGAATATTTATGTTCCGAACAATACAATGCCACCATAAGGAAGTCTTGGCAGTGACCGATGATAAAGATCCTTTAAAAAATAGGCAGCAATCAAATACACCAAACATTTTAATAACATAAATTTGGAGAATTCTACTGACAGCAGGTAGGAAGAAGGTATACAAAAACTAATTTAGGCATATTTTACCATTACTGATCATGCTGGGTTGGACTATTAATCACTGATGTTCTATCACCAGAGAGCTTTCAGCCAGCATGCTTCTACCTGCCACCGTAGAGAGGAGTTCATTGAGAAAATTAACTGAGGTGAGAAACTGTTATCGCAAGCTGTTGAATGTTCATAAAAAGGTGTTAAGGTCATTCAAATTAATATACAAACATTGCATTACATATATTAAGCATTATCTATCAGTATTTCAGAAGCTGTGTCTATAAAGGGCTGCATTCTTATCTATAACAGGCCAAGACATGTCTAATTACTATCTATTCTGATAATGGTTAGTGGGGGAGGACAGTCAAGGGCTGAACTGGGGCCACCAATATGGCTCTGGACACTAGCTAAATGTACACACGTTCATGAAACAGTAAACAAAATAAAGATAATATTACAAAATAGCGAAACTTAACAAAGGATGACAGTACACCTGTCCATAGTGCATGTAAAAAATCCAGACCAACTGTACATTAAAGCAAACCTGTACCTTGGCCATACAGGGTAACGCAGCAGGTTTTCTTTCATTTTCATATTCTTATACCTAACTTTCCTTTGCTACACAACTATTCTGTTTTGTGCCAAAACCCAAAGACAATGACTCTACCCCGCTGTTTAACAACTGTTGAGATAAGATATCTACCACACAAGAAGTACATTGTTTTTAATGAATTTGACAACTCAGATTGATTGCAGATTGAGAAGAATCTGTTTTTGTAGCACTATAAAACAGGAAATAGTGCTTGCGTGTCTAATGAGCAAATATGGTCACCTCCATGTACATATATAAACACAAATTTACATAGAAACAATAGTTTGTGTAAAAAGTAACAAATAATTCTAAAATTATTTGTCTTGACTTGATCTTTTTTTACATGTATAGCTAAAACATTGATAAGAACTAAACATTCCCTTCAAGCATGACACATCCAAAAAATGAAACTTTACAACTACAATTGCTCCCTCAACAACCAAATTAATGGAAATTAATCCATTGAGCAGGCTATGCACATCCAAATATTTAGATATTCTTATCAAGAGTAAATGGACTTTAAGGGCCCATTCAGATCTAATAAGTTTGTTGCTGTGCATTAACCTGCATGGCATTAAGATAGGCCATTCATTGTTTGCCAATTTCAGGGAAATCATATTGTTTCAATTCTGTGAAAGTGAAATGCTTAATTCACTCGCACATCTCACCCTCATGGTACTAAGGCTCCATTTACATGTGACATGCTTGTGGTGAGTTATGACAAACTTCAACCCTCTAGCTGTGGTGAAACTACAAATCCCATAATGTATCTGTCTCTGGGAGTCATGCCTGTGGTTAAGAGAACCTTGCAATGCCTCATGGGATTTGTAGTTCCACCACAGCTGGAGACATGGAGTTTGCCCACCACTGATATGCTAAGGGGGGGAATTTATCAAAACGGAAGCAGACAGAATCTGGAAAGAGGTGTGTCACAGGGTGCGCACGACATTACATATACACGTGACCCCAAACGTACATGCATGATGGATGTCGGCAAAGAGAGGAGAGGACGTTCATCCTGCAAAATAAGCTGTCTGCCTCTCGGTCCATGACACCCCCCCCCCACCTTGTGACACCACTGAACCTGGAGCAGTTGCCCATAGTTACCAATCAGCTTCTCTGTTCAGTTAGTTCAGTTTTGAAAATGAAAGATAGAAGAGTGCTTGGTTGCCACGGGCAACTGCTCCAGAGTCTGAATGCTCCAGTGTTGATAAATTCCCCCCTATGTATGTATATATGTATAGCACAAACATGCCCCATTCACCAGACGCGTCACTTTTCTTAATTCTGATTACCAGTTCAGATTTCGGTTTATAAATCCCTCTTCTTGGCTGGTTCAGCATTTGGTGTCACCACTCGTCCAATCAATAAACATAATCCCCTGAGCGCCCCCAGAGGTGGCCACAAGAAGTGCCCCCATTTATCCGGGTCCCTCCTATGGCGGCTCATAGCAGGTCCAGCGCTCACATTGTATGTATACAAGTCCCCCGGGGAATCGTGTCGTGTCAGGAGAAGTTGTATGCCGTCCGTTTGAGGAGGAGAGAGGCAGCGAAGTGACTTCGCGAGATGCTAAGTTATGAAGGGGGAGTGGGCGGAGTCAGTCATGATATAAGTACCTGTGTGAGCTGACTCCGTACAATTCTCTATACAGACGTTACGGGGACAGGTGTACAGCGGGTCGGACCTCAGGTGCCCCATACATACCACCCACCTACAGGCTCCTAACTATAGGTAAGTGCCCCCTGTCTTCCTCATTCCATTGCTGTGTATGAAGGTGTCACCGGGCTGCCCAGCTGGTTCTATGACTGCCGTGTAAAGTGTCCCGTTGCTGTATTCAGGTGTGAATGAATAATCCGACCGACTACTACACATAATAATGTTCTGAATCACTGAATGATGGCAGTAAACAAGGTTTACTATATCCTGAAACTATTGTGTGCACATGGGAAACAAGGAAACCCAGCAGAATGAGATGTGTTCTGTATAAATCATTATATTACACATGGTTATTTCAGCCAGAGACCAGTGATCACTCTCCAGGATTCTACTCTTGAGTATGGACACTAAGCAGGTAACAGGCCACATCTTATCCATAGCACATTGGCTGATAATACGCTGGTCGGGTCTAGCACATTGGCTGATCATACGCTGGTTGGGTCTAGCACATTGGCTGAACACACGCTGGTTGGGTCTAGCACATTGGCTGATCATACGCTGGTTGGGTCTAGCACATTGGCTGATAATACGCTGGTTGGGTCTAGCACATTGGCTGAACACACGCTGGTTGGGTCTAGCACATTGGCTGAACACACGCTGGTTGGGTCTAGCACATTGGCTGACCATACGCTGGTTGGGTCTAACATATTGGCTGATCATACGCTGGTTGGGTCTAGCACATTGGCTGAACACACGCTGGTTGGGTCTAGCACATTGGCTGATCATACGCTGGTTGGGTCTAGCACATTGGCTGAACATATGCTGGTTGGGTCTTATTTGCCGCTGTTTTAGATTCAATCTTCAGCAGCAGTTTAATAAGGGGAGATTTTCAGCCTGCTCTGGGTTTTTGGCAGATACCCCATCAGGGTCATCAGAAATCTCTGGGTTTTTTAACATTCCCATGAACCTGATTGAGGTCAACCAAAGGTTTGAGGTGTATCTGAAGCCAATACGTTTGTCTAGTTCTGTATAGAGTACAGGGTAAAGTATCCAGGTTTTGTCTGTGTCTAAGTTTCTTTCACTTACTGCCTCAAGAAAGTGAGAGAAATCTCTCCAAAGTAAAGGAAATCTTCACTCCGACAGTTGTCAGCAGAACACGTGTCCCCATTGAAAGCTTTCCCCTCAATTCCTATTCCAGTGACAACACACTGTCTGGGTGTCAACTGTCATAAGGAGAAAGATAGAGAATGGATCTCCCTGACAGAAATTAAACCTTACAGAGGTTCTTACCCTCGCATGCTCCAATTTTTAGATACACCTTAAATTACCCCTTTGTTGAGTTGGCCCCCTCCAGCTACTTTTCATAGTGCATGTGTGATTCTGTTTATAGGCTGTTACATAACACAGACATTACTGCAGATGTTTTCTTAATTGAGACCAAATAGGACTTTGATTCCCTTTTCCGATAGGGATGTCAAAGTTCTGAATTGATGTATTATCCTTGTGGCAAATCTAGAAGCCACTAGGTAATATATAATGCCTTTGAGGGGCTTCTACAAGCTAAGGCTCATTCAAACAACTAGATATATTTGAAAACAGTGTCTATGGCAGAGGTGGATAAATGAATATGGAATACAGGAGCCAGTCTGTCCAATCCAGGAGCCAGCAGGATTTTGTAGGAGCCAGCTCCACTGATAAGCAGTTGAGAAAAACGTAGAAATTAGGCACCAGCATTTATGGAGCATTGGCTGCCTGGCTCATGGGATTTGTCCAACCCTGGTCTTTGGCTTGGTGAACCATCACATGGAGATGGGTCTTCCCTGGGATTTGTCCAGCCCTGGTCTTTGGCTTGGTAAACCATCACATGGAGATGGGTCTTCCCTGGGATTTGTCCAGCCCTGGTCTTTGGCTTGGTAAAACATCACATGGAGATGGGTCTTCCCTGGCATTTGTCAAGCCCTGGTCTTTGGCTTGGTAAACCATCACGTGGAGGTGGGTCTTCCCTGGGATTTGCCCATCCCTGTTCTTTGGCTTAGTAAACCTTCACATGGAGGTGGGTCATGCATATAGGTGAAACTCATATACTATACACGAGTAGGCTCTCACCAGAAGTGGTAGATGCCATGGGACCTGGACTGTGCTTGTAAATCTGACTGCCCTCTTCTGTCTAGAACCACCATCATACAGCACATTGTTTTATGTCATCTGAACTGCAATTTGATGTGTGTTGCACCCAGGTAATTGGTGAAGGTATTTAAATGGGTGCGAACTGGCTGTTTATTTTTACATCCAGGACAGTGAAATTGACCAATCTATTGAAGTAGAGCTAATGATTAGATGATAACATGGAGACATTAACTATAAATAACAGACCATAGTGCTTTGAAAGGGTCGCTGATCCTGAAAAACAAGTTAGTAAGATAAAAGCATTTTTGTCATATCCAGGTGAATGCTATTTGATTTTCCTCCAGGACCTGTTTTGATGAAAACAATGCAATAAATATTTCTGAAAATATGTGACCAGAGACATCAGAGCAGGGTCAGGCCTGCAGGCACAGTCCGACCCCCTGTTTTATTTCTTACTGTACATTTACATTTGGACATTTATACCCATTCTGGTAGAAGAGAGAAAGAGGGACAGGTACCTTTAGCACCAGCTGAACCTGAGGGGAATCAACAATGCTGGTCAAAAGTATCCAAGACAGCAAGCTGCTTTATCTCCTGAAAATGATCAGCTGAGGTTGTTGCCTGCACGCAGATAAAACCATACGCATGAAGATCTTTGCCCAATCTGGCTGAAGTCAGCAGCATCTGGAAATGGTCATCTTTTGTCTATAGGTACTTTAAAGTTGGGAAAAAACGTAAGAAGGCTTTTGGGCATGCAAGCATAATATGGCCACCCTTGGGATAAATACTTGGCTGACAAGTTTATGAACCCAAACACTCAAATGTATGCCAAAATGCCAAATGTATTTCTTTTATATGATGCAAAATCCTTCAGGGAACATGGAACCATCATTTAGCTCTGTAAGATTTGTGGTGTTTGGGCAGAAAAGGGGTTTCTAATGGGCATATGTTGACTAGGACTGAGGAAGCCAGCATGTGATTTCACTTAACATACACGTGGAATGGCAGATAAGTAGCATGGGCATAAACAGCATACATCTCATGCAGCGTGATTCTGTCAGAGTGCTGATCCTAATACATGTTTCAACACAGCCAAGGTACTCATTACAAAACTATAGCTCTCATTAGGGTGGATGTTGACACACCTGGATTATATTGTACCAGCCTATTCAAGTCACATGGATCTACACACCCCAGGATAGTGAGATTTTGTTTTAGTCAGTTGTCACTTTCTTTGGGAACATCTCAGGTCTGTATATTGTATTCTGGACATGCTTGTGTTGGACATACATGAACCCTCAGAAGATGAAGAAGAAGAAATGTTAACTCTACTCTTCTGTTCACGATGTGTAATCTCCTCATTAGTGCCTATAGGGAAGTAATGAGTGTTCTTAGATGTGTTGCTGCTTTTATCAGTGGAGAGATGTAGAGTTTGGAAAAGAGTTTCCAGTGTGCCAATCACTTGTGCAGACTCAATACACATCACTGCAGTGTGTGACAGTCTTGTCCTGTGTATGGCCATCTTTCAGTTTCGTCAAGTGTAGGTTTGATTGTACAAAACTGTTGTTCTATGGTGAGGCATAGAACAGGATTCATACATACTGTATATATAAATGTATCATGTATGAAATGTTTTCAGGCTAGGGAGAGTATGTTTTACTTATGTACTGTTGAATTGTAGCATGAGTGTTGTAATTGTATAACTCTTCATGATGAGGTTTGTGGCAGTCAGTGGATTTATATCATCGGAAGTCTAATGTGTTTGGTGGGAAACTGAATCTTTGAACCCATCAGTGTGCTAAATTCTGCATACCATGTGTGTTGGCATTACAAGGATTAAATGTAACCAGTCATAAGAGAAAACGTGGAGGCTGCTTTAGCTGAGCTCTGTTAAAAATGCTAGTTGTCAGCTATCATGGAGACCTCTTACTGCAATCCTTTCATTGACATGGAACTTGTATACAGATAGGGATGTCTAACTTTAGTCTGACTTTACTGATCTGCATAGTTGTTCCAGATCAAGGCCTAAGCAGTGATTGAAGAACAAGGGTCGGCATAACAGTGAGCAAACAAGCATCTTCAGATGGAGGTCAGCAATGGCAGCCCCCATATATCTGTCATGACAGGTTTACTTTAGAAGAACAGACTGTAAGACGATTGTCTCATGTAGATAGCACATAGCAAGTCATAGACAGGAGATGTTTTCAGCCCAGTCTGACTAAATACAGCCATCTTAGGAACAACATAACTTTTTGATACAATCATTGTTACTTTGAACATGTAACATATTTTCAGAAATATTTATTGCGTTGTTTTCATCAAAAAAGGTCCTGGAGGAAAATCAAATAGCATTCACCTGAATTGATCCAGTTCTTTGTTGAGTTAAACCATTATTTTAGAACAAAAGAATGAAATCTGTGATCAGTTCTTGTTACGTGTATGGCCAGTATTGCTGGGTGTTGGTGATATCAGTGTTGATGACCGCTATTACACAGATTATATAGATTTTGGACAATGCGTGGCTCTCCAGTTATTGTGGAATTACAAGCAGTAGCACTTTTACACACCCATAAAAGTAGGATATGACGGGTTCTTGATTATGGTGGCATTCTAAATAAAAACACAAAGTTAACAAAACTTGATAATGTTCTATACCCACACCGCATCTAGAAAGGCCCAATGTGAAGTGTGTGCTCCACCAAAGAAGCCCATCTCATGAACACAGCAGTGGTATCAAGTCTTGGCTAGCTAGAGGTCCCCAGGGAGCCAAACATTGCCCAATAGTTGGTGAATACATTTTCATGTGAGGATTCCTGCAGTGGTGATGTTGCTTTATGCCAAAGCTACATGGGCAATATTTGACTTGTGTGACTGAATTTTGGTTGCAGACTGTCAGGTTGCTCTCAAAAACCTAATTCGTTGACTGCAGTCACCAACACAATCACAAAGGATGTTGTAGTGTTGCTGGCAAAACCTTGTTATAATCACCTTTGTAACTTTATTCCTTGCTAAATGAAGAATGAGACCGAGTCAGGATCAGTCATGGGGCCATTAATGAAAGTTATGGCCAGCAAAGTGGAAGCTTTCTCCCTAGTAAACAAAAATAGTCGCTGTCCCATTTCCCCGGGACTAAAACACTGATGTGTGGGTGGGAGCTCATTCATCTTGTCATAATCTAGCCTCAGGATTTCACAGAACTATTTCCTCATTGTTTCACACCAGACAACACTGTGAAAGGTGAGGTGTCCGCTGTTTTGGGGATGCAGCTTTGTAAACACCTTTAATAAAACAACTTGTAAAGCCAGCAGTAAATCGTCATTAGCAAGTCTTTATACCCACATCCTGGATAAATTGTTTATTGGAAGTTTCTTGTCACACCTCACATAAATAATAGTGTTGTGTTATTTGTACAAAAGAAGACTGAGTGACGTCTCCCGTGTGGAAATTAATTACACCTCTCTTTATGTAAGATTAAAAGCTGGTTCTTCATCTTACCTGGCTCTGACCAGTTACTGTTAGTCACCGGGTGTCACCATTATTAAATATGAAACATACAGCATCTCTGAATTTCATGGTGTATAGATGACTTTTCTTGTATGCTATACATTACGTTTTGCTCTCTATTACATTGTGTTTAGTCATGTGCTGCAGACTGTTGTTATATAACACAGAGCACAGTCACCTGCACTAGTATACAACAGTTCTGTTTACTACATGCCATATTTTTATTTCCTTTGCATTATACATATGACTTTGCTTTACTTATATGTTACAAATTTAGGGTTATTTAAAGCTTTGTTTACTATATGCTATACTTTTTGTTTCTTTTGCATCCTACTTATTACTTTGTGTTACATATTCAAGCTTCGTTAAGTTTACTATATGCCAAACTTTGTCTTTCCTTGGCATCCAACTTATGAGTTTGTTATATTATATAAGTATATTTAACAAACTAAAAAGCACTGTGTATGCCATGTTAATAAATTCACACCATAGATATATATTATACATAACCGAGATTCAGACTTGTTGACACACAGCTCTATGGTACAAATTGGCAGTGGGACATTCTTTCATTGATATGGCAAGACATATGATGGATGCCATTTTAGAAAGGACTTCAAATGCACTTTAAATAAGCCAGACTGTCTATAGCTATAAAGTTGAACAGGGGAGTATATATCAGCATTGCACCTTAGCCACCAATCAGATTAAACGTTTCATTTCCCTGCTGTCATTTTTTATCTGATTTGTGGTCATAGAAAATACTGGCACTTTGAGACATTAGGCTAAATTTAGCATCTCAATATTTTTTCTACACTGTGCTGCCTCGGTGACTCGCTTGAGTTCATTAACATTACCCTTTAAAAAAAGAGAAAGTTTCTAGATAACAGGGCTGGAGTGTTATCTCTAGTGACTCATAAATTTACTTTTCAATTTATATTATCGAGCATAAAACTTCAGCAGTGTAGATGAAGCATGGGAGCTGTGATGCGTATCTAGCTATTTATGTAAGAAAACTTTTACCTGACCCTTGGACTTGCCTACCCAGCACTATGTGCCCAACAGACTCAGACATTCATTGACAGACATTTCTGCTTATGCCACATGAAAGGGGCGGTGTGATTAGTTCATTACATTTTTAACTTATTGCATGTCACATATTGGATTAGATTATATAAACTCCTCTCATGAGTTCAGAAAATGTCACACCAGGTACATATTTTGTAGCATTCTCCAAGGCAGGCAACATGCACAAGCAAAAAGATTTGTGGGGCTGCAACTAATGATTATTTTCATAAAGGATTAGTTGGTCGAATATTTTTTTTGATTAATCGGATAAAAAAATGAAATAAATACCATCCTTAAAATTAAATACACAAATGCAGTGTTAGAAACATAAAGTTTAATTCAGAATAAAACTGCATGCACAATTTTTTGCAAGTGTACTGCACTGGAACGCACGGCATAGAGGTACTGTGTGTTCCAGTGCAGGCGATCACACTGTAGGTGGAAGTCTTGTTTGGAGTGCCATTGAAATGAATGGCACTGCAGCGCACCTCCCGCAGCAGAATTTGTCAGGCCGAAACCGAAAATGCTTTTTTCCCACCTTTTTATAATGTTTTTTTAAAATAATTGTACTGTAAGCACATGGAGCTTGAATAGCTTCAGGCAGGAAATGACAGCTGCCAGTGGTGAGATTCCGCAGACGGCAGCTGAATGTAAATACAGCAGGCAGTGGGCGGGTGCAATAGCCAGCCTGCTATTGGCCATTTCAAATTGCAATAGCCAATAGCAGGCTGGCTTTTGCACCTGCCCACTGCTTGCTGTGCCCTCCTCCCAGCGTGAACGAGAGAGCTAGGGGTTCCAACCAACTAATCGATAATGAGAATAGTTGACAACTATTCTCATAATCGATTATTATCGATGAGTTGGTTGCTGCCCTAAAGGTTTGCTATAGGGCTCATTCTTATCACAGTGCTGCAGTGCAGAACATTCACACAACGTGCTTTATAACACATCTTGGGTGAACAATTTGAAGGGATGCTTCAATTTCTCAGTTTAGTTCATGGCTTACCACAACAGAGTTGCTGTTTCCATGATGGCATAAACAAGCCCTTAATCACTTTCAATGGAATTGGGAAGATTAATAGTTGAGATAATTTTCACTGAGTTCCAAGATAGATTATTCTCTAGAATCCTGTATGTATCAATAGCTGGCATTCCATCAGAGTATTTAAAACAAGGATGTTTTTCTTTTTGATGATAAAATAGTTGCAAAGTACACTTTGGTTAATGAGAAGCACGGAGATGACCTTTGATACAGTATCTATTAGCTTGGCAGATGGATGTTACTAGTAGTTTGGATATGACACAATTGTGTCTTTTTGCAGGTATGTTGGGATACTTTTAAATGTAAGATGGCCATCTATCAGTCTATCCAATTGTGGTCAGATCAGGCAATCACCCCATTCACAAGCAGATTATCACTCTACAGTCAGCTGACCTTTGGGAGATGCAACAATTGAGTGTTTTTTTCCCCCCAGCTGTTTGCTGTTGTTTTTGTGAGATATATGAAATGCTGGAATTAAACTTCTGTTCACTCCACTTCCTTCACCCAAGGCATAACTGTGCACTCTTGAGCAATCACAGTATTTGAGTTATGTAATGATTGTTCACTGGTGATCCGATTGTGCCCACATGTTTAACCACTTCTTAGTACAATGACTAGCTTTAGAATGTTTATAAAATAACTTAAATTCATTTGCAACTATACGAGTCTGCACAACCTTCCATTTTCCAAGACAATTTAATTTAGCATGTCCACACTGGGGCGAGACTCACGGGTTAGGAGACATAATTTAATATGGAAGGCCTCCAAAGTTATTTTCATTCCGTAGGTGAGTGTGAATGATGTAGTGCCCTCTTGCCACCACCACATATGATGGTGACTCTGTACGCATGGGCATTGTTTGATATTTCTCATTATCAGTCTACGTAGCACTAACACTGAATCATAATACGAATGCAATCTGTCAGTTTACAATGGCACCACAGGGTCACTTGTATAAAAACCATATGTGTGAAAGAAGAGTGAATATACTTATCTTTCTAGCAGCCCATGCAGTAAAATGCCACCACTTCACTGTGTCCCAGCCGCTGCCAGCATTAGCCTCTATGAGAAAGTCACATTCCTGTTTTACCTGCTGCATGCTGTAGTTCCCCCCGCTGGTTAGTATGTCCTGTGGTGAAATATGAACCAGTGGCATTGCAGGTGTTCCAGAATGCGGCAGAGGAGCAGGTTTTCCAGACATCTGGAAATGTGAAATACATGCAGCGGCCAGGGTGCCGCAAAGCAGTGGTATTTAAACACCTGGGCTGCTGGAGTGATAAGTATATTCCGCCATTTTAAACTGACAGCTGGCACTCCCATCATGATTCAGTGTTAGTGCTACATAGACTGCTAATTACAAATCTAAAACCATGTACCTGTATATGGCCACCATCATAGATGGTGGTGTTGAGAGGGTCACTTTATATAAGCTATTGACGGGCTTTTGCAGGCTTTAGGAAGCTTAAAACTTTGTAAAGCCCAATGAAGTCTTGTTTAAAGTGACAGCCATTACTCCCATTAAGATTTCTATTCATCCAATCAAGGCTACAACAGAGGTAAAGGGTGCAAAGGGCTTCAAGAAAACGGTTACAGGCTTGTCAGATGATTTGTGTGTCTGATGCTGTGTGTCTGACTTTCAGTGTCTTGTAATGTAATATATATTTGGTGTATTTATTTAGATGGGTATCAGAAGAAGTACACTGTAGCTTGGTTTTATTTTTTATAACAAAATGTTTGTCTGTTTGATTATAATGCATCATATATGGGCAACAATGTGATTTCAGGACACATTTCCTATAGGTTGTGCTTTATTATTGATGCATAGGGCTTGTTGTTATGGCAGTTTGATCATATATATATATATATATATATATAACAGTCAAGTGTCTGTAAGACTTGTATGTTTATTTGATATGTTACCATTGTGTTTTCCAGAAACGTTCATCGAACGGCATGGATTGGGGAACTCTTTATGAAGTCATTGGAGGGGTCAACAAACATTCTACAAGCATTGGCAAAATCTGGCTCTCTGTCCTGTTCATATTCCGTATTATGATTTTGGTGGTGGCTGCGGAGAGTGTCTGGGGTGACGAGCAATCAGATTTCACCTGCAACACATTACAACCTGGGTGCAAAAATGTGTGCTATGACCACCACTTTCCAGTGTCTCACATCAGGCTCTGGTGTCTCCAGCTCATCTTTGTGGCTACACCAGCACTGTTGGTTGCCATGCACGTAGCTTACTTGAGACACGGAAAAAAAAGAAAACTTCAGAAAAATCGCCAGTCCTCCAAGTTTGATGACACGGACTTAGAGGAGTTAAGACAGTATAGATTTCAGATAGTAGGTACACTCTGGTGGACCTACACCATCAGCATCCTGTTCAGGGTCCTGTTCGAGGCTACTTTCATGTATCTCTTCTACTTCCTCTACACTGGTTTCCATATGCAACGTCTTGTCAAGTGCGACAACTGGCCTTGCCCGAATGTGGTTGATTGTTTTATTTCAAGGCCTACTGAAAAGACTGTATTTACCATCTTCATGATTATCGTGTCTGGCATTTGCATGGTGCTAAATGTGGCAGAGTTGTGCTATCTCATCATTCAGGCATCTATGAGAAGAGCCAAAAAGAATGCCAAGAGATACACCAACCACATAAGTGGCAAAGAGGAGTCACAGAATAAGCTAAATGAGCAGAAGGAACAATAATCAAAGGTTTGCGTGAATTATTTTAACCTTTAGCTGTAACTGCCATTTTCCAATCCTACGGAAGAAGGGTTTGGTATATGCAATACAACAAATTGTGTCCTCGATCTGAATACTTGGAAATTACAGAAATTCAACACAGAAACATCCTAAGATACCTGTGTAAGGTGGATAGCGTTTGCATACTTACAAAGTATGTTTGCAAATTCAGACATTTTGCGTTACATATTTGCTGGAATTCTGAGCAATATAAAGTAGCATGTCTTTGACTAAAATTCAATAGTGTTTTATATTAAGTCTTTATGTTTCGGGGTTTATTTTAATATTTTGTTTTGCTATTTAATGTTACAGGAGAAATTTGCTATTGTGTGTTAATAGTGAAACCAAATCCCAACTGATTTTTGGAGATTGATTGATTGTATTTAGAAAAAAAAAAAGTAAATGTTCCTAAGTGAACATTGCCATGATTGACTTCTCATTCCTAAAATGCTGCCTGTCACACTGACCCCCTGATTCCAACACTAATTCATTGGAACATGTATGCATATAAGGACAACTGACTTTTCTCTGATTTGCTGAGCTGTATACTTGTTCCAAATCTGTGACTTGGAAAGTATTGAAGCCAAAGGGTGAGTGTAACATCCAAGCAACTACCATTTTTAGAAGAAGAGGTTAGCCATGACTACCCTCCATGCTTCTGTGTGGGAAGGTTTATTTTAAGGAGGAAATTTAACCTCATTGGGGTTTTTAGTCCTGTGAGTATGGCAATAGGGTAGCTGTCATTGCTGGCTTGGTTTTTATTGTTGCATGCTCTGGATGTGTCATTGTGATTGTGGCTTCACCACCTAGTGAATTGCCAATCTGGAACAAACATGTAGGCAGTGAAGTCTAAAAGTCAGATGCTGCATGTTTGTTCTAGGTCAGTGACTCACTAAGTAGGGAAATACGGATTAGAATCAAAGCCCGAGTCCAGAGCTTTAGAAAAGCAGGTCAGCAATGGCAGGTCTCTTTTCTATCCTCATGGGTTCATATTAAGGCCTGGTGTGTCTACACAGATGCCGTGTCTACACTGGATACTCCTGGATGTGTCCTGTTAGGCACCAGAGGCCTTAAAGAAGCCTATTCAAGCAAAGCGCACACAGTTGACTATGTCTTTCAATATGGAATTTCTAAGACTTTCCAAAGATTGTGGTTGGAAAGATCTTCCATAAATGACTACGATCAAATACAATATTGTATTCTGATAACTGCAGGTTGGGAATCTTTGTAATATAATGATAGCATTTTGTACATTATTTTTCACATGGCCTTTGATATATTTTCTACCCATTTACATGCAATCTAAGCTGTATAGAAAAAGTGACAGGTTGAAAAAACTATACCACTGCCAAAGTGCTGCCAATGGCCACCTTCTATTCACATAGTATAACACCCTTCCCACCTACAGTCTGTAAAAATAAACATGCCCAGCACAATTCCTGACACTTTGCGCAGCTGCTAGTGTTCTGTCCTGGCTGTTACTGATAGGTCGGGGCCTCAATAACCATGGGGTACCAACTAGAGTGGTTTCTCGTCATGTGACCAGCTGTGCCATAGTGATCATGTGCAGGCTGAAAGGCTAAGCCTTTAGGCTTCAGATGACACTGTATCACAATCAAGCGGCTATGGTGGATCTGGACGGCAGCTGTGGAACTAATTTGGTAGGCTAAATGGGATTCGGTCAGTCAGGCGACTTCCTACACACTCAGTGCGCTAGGAAGTCGTTCCACATCATGTATCCCAGCCTTCGTGGAAGGCAAGTTACTGCAGTGATGGTGGTCTGATGGGACTGTAGTATAATCCAACCAGAGGAGCTATAGATTGGTTTAACTGCACACACCACCCCGCAATCTATAGGCTACCTCTAACACCCAGTGCATCCAGGCAATACTGAGGGATATGGACTAATGCTGATGTTCTTTATACCCAAGTGACAACAGTAACGTGGAATTGGTGCAAGTAGATAGACATATAGCGTAGGTATGTAATCGTTAGCAGTATCTCTCAATACACTTCAGTTGGTATGCAAACCTTCAGTAGCAATTTCACAGGCATATAACTTCAACGAGTATTTCTCAGCAGTAGTATCAGGTAACTGACAGGTAGTTCAACATAGGGCTAGAGCCCAGATACTTGCGGTTCAGCTGTTCAAGCTGTGGGGGATCTGTCTCTATCCTGCGTGGCTGAGAGGAGCTGTAACGAGGAGAAGTGCCAGCAAGTGCTGCGATCTGGACAGGGTGTGGGAGCCGGACTGGTTCAGTGGAGACAGTGGATACAATTCGCTCGACGTTCCACATTGACTGAACGCCGAGTGATTGCCTCCACTGGGTTTATAAGAACCACGCTGAGCCCAAGGGGCGGAGTCCCGCGTGACGTCACGGCCGGAGCGCCGCGGCACCGGAGCGGCCGGGGGTGCCGAGGACGAGCCTGACACACTGCCACCTTCAGACTGCACTGGAATCTGCAGTGCCTTCAGCTTTACATTGTCTACGTTTAAAAAAAAAAAATTAAACTAAACAATACTTGTAAAATGCAAACATTCTGCATTTCTGCATTTGTCACTGTAGAAT